CACTACCTCCAGATACGTACCATTTGCGGTAACTCCAGCACTTTGTAAAATAAAGATGGTAACAACAATAATAACAATCCCAGGGCTCTCCCCTTACAAAGAGGCAATTAAAACTTGTGCTTGGAATTTGCCTACATTTTTCTCCCCAAGAATGTGAAGTCATTCAAATGAGAATCAAACACATAAATGAATTAGCACAGAAATACAATCTGTCCAAACTAACAGATTGACTGAGGCTTAGTTTCCGAGTGAGTCAGTGTTTTTAATGAAGCATTTCAGCCTTAGAGGGGAAAACAAACAAAGAGGTGCTAAAAATAACACGTGGGGCCTGGAACCAACTGGATCTGGAACTCTGGCTCGGAATGATCTCAAGGGACTGCGATCAATACGAATGTGTCGGGACATGTCTGCTCCGGTCACCACACCAGCTCAGTGACTGCGGTGATGGCATCAGTGCTCTGCCTCTTACAGAGAGGAGGAGGAGTGGGAGAAACAAAGCCTCACGGAGTGTCGGGTCCATCTCCTGACTCACCACACAGCTGCTGAGAAGCGCCAGACCCCCCATGACTCTCTCTCACCTGATCTGCTTAAATAAAGAGATTTTGCCAGAATAACATTTATATATTTTTACAGGACATGACTTATTTCCTTCCATGAAGGGACTGCTGGTCACCTTTGTGTTGAGAAAGTCGATGTGCAGGGAAATGAGTTAGGATGAAAGCTCAGGGGAGGTCCTGCCAGAAAAATATCACTGCACAGTGCAAGCGGCATTCCTGTGAGAGCTCCTCCCCGTTGCAGAGATGCCACTGAAACAGGAGGGATGTCACGGTCTCTAACAGTGACCCCGACCCTCCTGAGGTCTCTGCATGGCAACTCTGACCCTCCTGCAGTCTCTGCTTAGGCACTGGCCCTCCTTAGTGGTCAGCGTGATCACAGGTTCCCCATGTTGTCCTGGAGGGACTACAGCTGAACCAAGGTGGCACTCTTTCTAACCAGATAGCAATTAGCATTCAAACTGCTCGCCACTCCCAACTCCACCAAACCTAAATGAAACTCGATAAGGAAAGTCCCAACACCTTTCCACAGCCCAGCCATCTCCAAGGGGAAAGGATGAGAGGTGAACGGACACAGCTGACATTCACAGGACCTTGCTGGGACCAGCCGTCCTTCACCCACAGGCTCGGCACTATCGATCTTACTCCATTCTCAGTAGGGAACCGCTGGCCAGGGCTGGCACTCCAGAGGACACAGCGGCAGGGTTCCACCTGGCCTTGGCTCCAGGATCCAGATTTTGTGCTGCCAACCATGGCATCAGGGGTCCCCCATGTTGGTGTCACCCCAGAGATACCCAGTGGGGGAGAAGGCTTATAGGGATTCTGGGGTTCAGACCAGCTAACTCAGAATCTATGGAGGGCCCCAGGTGCCAGCATCCCGTGAATGTGCCCCGAGTGATTCCAGCTGGTGGTCACCCAGGCTGAGAACCCCAGGCTTGTCTCATGTCTGCTCTTGCACTCTTTTTTTAATTTTTATTTTTGTAGAGACAGAGTCTCACTTTGTTGCCCTCAGTAGTGCCTTGGCATCACAGCTCACAGCAACCTCCAGCTCTTGTGCTTAGGCGATTCTCTTGCCTCAGCCTCCCGAGTAGCTGGGATTATAGGTGTCTGCCACAACACCCGGCTGTTTTTTTTTTGTTGCAGTTTGGCCAGGGCCGGGTTTGAACCCACCACCTTTGGTATATGGGGCCGGCACCCTACTCCTGAGCCACAGGTGCTGCCCTGCTCTTGCACTCTTTTAAACCAAACTCCTTGATAAATAAGGAGGGGGACATCATCCTTTGGAATTCATCATTTTTGGAAAGCATTATATAGCATTTTTCCTTATAATAACTTCATGTTGAGTTGTCAGTAAAGAAGCTTTGTCAATTTAAAGAAGTTGAACATTTTTAAAGCATCCTTAAGCTCCTCCGAGGCAGGTAGCGCCCCACGGTGAGGTGGGAGGAGAAACCTGGAGGGGCGTCACTCACAACCTGAGCCGCTGACACCCTGAGCAATGATCCACCATCTCTTCAAAGAAATGAGGGGACAGTGCCTGACAGTCCAAAATCACTGAAGACAAGACGAGGCTGTCAGACACGATCACCCTTCACGCCAGTTTGTAGGATCCCACTGACAGCTGTCTTCACTTCTGCACACACGACAGTCACCCACGTTTTTGAGACACAAACTGGAGTTTTAAAATCTTTTCTGCAGGTTTTAATTTTTCCTTTCAAAATAATTTCACTACTCAGAGTCTCTCATTTTCCCTCGGATGCTGGCTGTGCTTTTCTGGGTTTCGCTGTTGGTGAGTGAAGACGACCCCGTGGCTGCCCCACTGTGCGCTTTCCCCTCTTTAGGACTGTTAACTAACTCTCAGATCAGTGCTGTGCGGGTGCAGAAGACACTACTGGGCGTCTGAAGGGCTCCGGAGTGGCGTGCACAGGTGTTGGAGAGAAATCAAACCTGAAGTCAGCTCTCTTCCTTCCTGAGTGAGAAAGAAAATGACGGCTCCAGCCGCTGGGTGCCCTGATCCGGAGGGAGAGCAGTTAGTGGTACAGAGCCAGGCCAGGCCTCCTGTCCACACCACTGGGCTGGGGTGGGCGGTCCAGCGAACCAGCGACCCCACACACAAGGACCACTTTGGAAAGCTTCCTATTCTCTCTTCAGAAAATAAATTCCAATTGAATTTCCGTGGGAAAACTTCTATTCTTCAGTGACAGGTCATTGTGGAAAGCTAAGACAGGTAAGATGTAATGTTATGTTTGGTTTTAAAGCTGGCTTTTAAGAAGAACAAGGAAATGGATTTTTTTCTATTCTTCTAGGCTTCAACGGTGCATTTTCACATAAAAATGATTTGATTGCTCAAACACATTTTTCCAGAATATTTAAAAAATAACTTTATAGTATAAAAACTAAGATGTCTTATTTTTGCTAAAAACTTGGACAGATGGCACCCTTCCTAGGTGAAGGTCACAGCTACAATGGGGACATTGTCTTACAAATGCAAACAATGTAGCCTAATTATATGTACCTCATATTAATCCAAAATAAATTCTTAAAAAAGAGAGAGAACTCAGAATTCAGAATATAGAGAGAAAAATAAACAAAAGCTGCCCCCAACCCCTGTGACCCAGGCACAGACACTGCCTCTATTTCGGCACAGCCTAGCCGGGCCTCTAATACGTGCACACGAACACGCAGGTGTGTAGAGGTGCTCAGGGTCCAACAATCCCTCAGTCGCCCCAGGTGCACAGTGTCACCACAGGTCAGCAGCAGCTTCCCGAGGACACAGGCTTAGATTGTAAACAAGGTGGAGAGAGTGTCAAGGAGAGTGAGGTCACTGACCAGCATGCTCTGCACGTGAGCTGAGAGGACACCGTCCCCTCTGACAGAGTCTAGGGCTTAGCAATGGTTAAATTTTCTGGCTCCTTCCTTTCCTCAAGCCTCAGCTATGAACGAACACCCCTGGAACCCAGCGTGACATCCGACTTCACCCCTTCTCCCTCCCTTTCCTTTCAGGGCCTGGGGAGGCAGAGATGAGATTTGAGGGGAAAGAAGGAACAGTTGTGATTTAAGGAGAAAAGGAACTGCTCCTGGTCTCTCCTCCTGCCCTGGAGAGGGGAAGTCTGCTGTAGGGAGGGAGGAAGGGAGGCGTGGCGAGGGTGGTCTGGGCAAGAAGAGGGCTTAGCTTCCAGCCTCTGTCTCACACCACAGGAAGCCCCCCTGCTGTGCTGGAGATCACAAATCTCACTGCTTTGGGTGAAAGGGTGTGTTTTAGACAATGACATGCCATTTAGCAGCTGTGCATTTAAAAATTAATGGCTTGAGATATAACTCACAGTTCACCCATTTAAAGTGTACAGTTCAAAGATTTCAGAATATTTAGAGTCGTGCAGCCATCACCTCAGTCAGTCTTAACACTTCCATCACCCAGAAGAAGCCGGAGTCACTGATCTGCTGTGCGTCCCTGGCTGATGCTGGACGTTCATATGAACGGATGACAGGGAGGGACATTCTTTGTACAGTCCCCCTGTAGGCAGCTGCTAAGACCCCCCAATTTGGTGCTGCCTTGTCATCTCCAAGCCTCTCAGGCCCCAGAACCCTATCCATGCACTCCCTGCTCCTCCAGCTGTGCCTGTGGCCAGTGGGAAAGTTTCCACCCCCCTGCCTTCCCACTGGGCTTCAGTTTCCCGCCAGCCCACAAAGCTGCTCCAATAAGCCAGCTGCATCTCCTGCAGGATCAGGACCACTTCACCCTCTCATTACCACAAAGCCATGAGCACAGCCTGTGTGGCAGGTAGCAGCCTCCTCCCTGGTGAGCTCGCGCGACTGATAAACCTGTCCATGGCCTCTGCCCAGTGCTGTATATTCGTTCAGCCACCTCGCATGCCTTGGGTGTGGTGAGCAGGAGGTGCTCAGAACAGACCCAGCAGGAGCTGTGTGGACTGGCTAAACGACTGCAGGCTGGAGTGGAGATTCTGACAATGCCCGACTTTGGCCCTGGGCTTATTAGCACTCAGCCTGGACTTGCAGGATGAGAGCTCAGAGGAGCTGCACAGAATCGGGTGCTGGCTCCCCACCCCCCAGTCCCCAAGACACCGGGAAATAACACAGCCCTGCAGGTTACTTAAAACAGCAGTGCCTCCTGGCTGCTCAGACTCAGGCTGACGAGCTGCTCTCATCCCTGCCGCTGTCTCTCAAATGGTGCCGCACAGCAAAACACACACGGAGAGTGGCCTGTACGCAACATGACTGGGCTCTGGAAGCTCTGCCAGCCCCGCGGGGACAAGCTCAACATTCAGGGAAACGTACACAGTTCATTACCAGCCAGAGAGGAAAGTGCCTGAAATGTGCGTCTAGAGACACCTTCAGGAATCCTGAACACTAAACGGAACTTTATTTCCTCAATTGAGGAGAGGCTGCGAGCTCGCGTCTGGGAAGCGGCCGGCCCTCCGAGAGCCTCACCTTTCAGCGTTGCTTTCTTGAGGACTTTCATGGCGTAGAGCTGGCCGGCGTCGGACCCCTTGATCTTCCTCACCAGGAACACCTTGGAAAGAGAAAGCAGAGATCTGCAAGGGCACAGCTTCCAGCACATCGTCCAGACTGGACTCGCCAAGGAGATGGACAAGGTAGTCCAGAAAAATCCCAGTAAAAGAGACACTGCAGGAACCCCGCCGTCTCCTCAGCATCCAGGCTGCCAGGAAGGGCGTCATCTAACTCACCTGGACATCATTACGTGTCTGAAGAAGAACCATCATTTGTTTTGGAATCATCGACTTTCTATTTTATATCAGAAGTAATACTCCTTCTTTTTGAAAACCAGTTATTTAGAAAAATGAACACTACTCAGAAATCTTAGGGGGGGCCCTGTAACTTATGTTAAATGTCCCTTGGTGGATCCACGGGGACGCTGGAGAGAGGCTGCCAATCACCAGGACAGGCTCCAGCTGGTCGTCCAGGTAAACTAGTTTCTTTTATTTGAACTTTCTTCACCCACATTTTAGTGGTGAGTAGCTTAAGTTTATAAATAGAGTCATGTGGCTATTTGACAGTACTTTCTCAAATACTTTTTGATGTGTATCATACGGGAAAGCCAAAAAGAAAAGATAATTGAGAGAGGCTGAGTTTAAAATTATGATTGTAATTTTTGAACAAAATTAATTTAAAAAAAACAACCCTGGAGTATCCTCTATGGTGCATATTGCAAGGGTACATGTCAGATCTGTTAAGTATAGAGTATAAATGTCTTAACACAATAACTAAGTAAAGGAGATGAGGTATATATTAACCAGTGGGATATAAGCATTCCTAATTCTATATGAAATCCACACGTTGTACCCCATAAGTGCATTAATGTATACATGATCTATGTGTTTACAATTTAATAAAAAAGAAAAAATTACTTTATATCCCGGAGGATAATTCTGTGTTCACAGCAAAGCAATAAAGATAATACAATTGGAAAAAATATATACAAAAATCTCCCATGAAAATGACGTTGTAGTACTCAATTTTCCTAAAAGTATTTCAACAAATGAAAAATCTGCCTGAAAGACAAAGACAGATGAGCAAATTAAGCTCTACTGGAGCCTCCTCTGGTGTGATCCAGGGGGGATGCTGAGTTCCTCCTCCCCAGATGCCTCCCTCCCCAAGTCTGAAAAAGCCAGCAAGAGCAGCCATCGTAAGTGCCCTCTGGGGCATTCTAGCTTGATGTGAACTCTGTGTGGGGGCAGATGGGACCGTTCTGCAGGTGTGGGG